TAGTGAGTACACACGACAACCTCAACCTATCATTTGGTTTATCATCTACTTCCGATGTGGTAGAACTATGCCCTAACTTGCTCAGTTGTATACGAAATATTTTGTTTCTTGGTGGATACAGTTGCTTGTCACCATTGTACATAGTACCTCAATGAGAATTAGTTTCGATCTGTTTAATTCGTTGCCCATTGCGTGGGCGGCCTTGGTCGCGTCCGCTGATACTATTTACTTCTGCCGCTTATTTTCTACCTACTGATTTATATCAACTCTATTATAGAGATACACATCCGAATTAGTGAATGTATGATTGAGGTTATAGCATTAGGTGAATGTATGATGTTTGCAAGTGTCGAAATCTTATTTCTATCGAATTGCTATACATTATGAATAGAACATATACAGAAGATTCGAAGCGTTTTCAAAGCACTCTCATTAAGGACAACATTAAAAGGGGACATTCGATACTTTGTTCGCGAAACCAGAATCAATGCAAGTCTGTGATTGAGAATATACGCATTTAGCACAAGATGAGCACCGTCGCGCCATCGGCGTATGCACATGCATGACGTGGATTTTTGGAATGTTGTAAGAATCATCTGTTCATTTTACGAAGGCGATTCATTTTATTGAGACGTAAACATATACGTGTCGGCATTTAAACTTGTTAGCAGATGTTTGTTTGCGCTGTAGTAAACCCATTGTGATACTCACTATAGAGAGCGAAAGCCACGGTGCTATTGGGCGATTCAAAAGAAGAGCACGAATTGCGGAGTAGAAAGTTCACACTGGATATAGACCTGACCACATTCTCGAAGATGATCATAGCCGTGGCAAAGAAAATGTACGGGGATAGCGAGGGTGATGAGTTCAAGCTGTGCTTCATGACCGAAGGCGGTATGTGCCTCCCTTTCCTTTGTAGTATGGCTGTTCTGTATATGCCTTGGGCTGGTACAACAACGGTGAGACCTTCCTACGTGCACTCTGGATAGCAAACCTATTGTTTGTTACTATGAAGTGGGCGGATAGGTTTAGCATACAAAACACGCAATCGTGCTTTCGCATCTCGGCATTAGGTAATACCAAAGTTCTATTTCGCACCTCGATTAAGGTACAACCACAACATCAAAGCATCGCTGCGTATATATGTCATTACACGCGTAAAAACATTTCTGATGGATATCCCCTATTTGTGACATCTCTCTATATGGTAGAGGAGCGCTACATGCCAACCTGGGGTGGTGCGAGCCAAAGAGCACGGCGCTTTATCTGACGGTCATGGCGTGTTTGTATTAAGGTGTGCACGTGAATTGATTTTGCTTGCTTTTATTCTACAGTCTATGATGTTCTAATGCCGAATCTGATTAGCCGACAAAAGCCAAATAATGAAACTGTATTCTTCTTGTTCTCCATGGGGGTTTGAATAAGGGTAGTATAGAAGTTCTTTCAGCTTCAGCCCAACACATATCCGTTGGATAACTAATTCAAGCTCGTCTCTTTTTAGAGAACTTCGGCCTTACCCTACTTGTATTGTGGTAACGAGAATGTGCCCAACAAAAATAAGTTTCAAATGTGTTCCCTCCATCGCGGATCTGCTATTAGTTCGACGGTTGTACATATCTATGGATATACATTCTTATTTCTGTCAGAGTATCTAATTCAATTCATAAGGGGTTAACACCACCATTCTAATACTACCACGCATCTGACTTATCGCTCAGACAAAGAAGTATAATGCGTGCCGTTCAGGGGAAAGACACCAAAAAAGGACACTGGCGAAGTAAACTGAAGAACCAGAAGAAAAGCCTTCCCGATTTGTAAGTGAGTGTGACGTATTCGGAATGGTCACAGGTTTTGCATGCTGCTGCAAGACTTTGCACGCTTTTATGAGACCATAGGTATCACCTACTCATTTTGTTAAGGACTTGACTTCCTCAGTGAGTGATTTGTCGACTGCATGTGTGTTCAGCGATCGCTCAATGTTCCTTTCCTGAACGTACGCGGCATTGGAGATAGCTAGAAAGAATCTAAACATTGCAATCTAGTTGACTATACATGCGACCTTCCTCACATTCTTTGCCTGCCATAGAAACACATAACGCTTTACTTTCAACAAGTGACACAACTTTCCAGTTTTAGCACTATGAATCATTGCTAGGGATCTTTGTGGTATTAAAGGAAGGAGGGCATGGTATTGGACCTTGCCAGCGTCATCAGCCTTCCAAGTTTATCTATAGCCAACATTCATTGGTGCGAGGAAGGATCGCAACATAAGTACCCGTCATACAAGTACCTATCATAGTAATAAGATCCTCTTTGTAACTCCGCATCGTCTCTTTGCAACTTCAGCAAGGGCACGCTTCTCAGACAGCCGAAGAAGAAAGGCAAAGCCGCGGAATCGCACGTGCAAGTTCAGACCGAAACATCTTTACAATTAGACAGCACTTCACAAGACAAGACTTATGACGACAACATCACTCTCAACAAGGCCTACAACAGTAACGCACAAGAGAAGCAACCGACCAACGAACAAGGCTATAAGGACAACGCCATCAGGAAGCACCACAGTACTACGAGGTATGAGTAGCCGGTATTGTCTCCTGTTTAAGGGATATATTTGAAACCTACTCCAAAAGCTTATGTGATGTGTTCCCATTAAAATCCAAGTCAAGCCTCGAATGTCGGTACCTGTCGTCTGTTCAGCAGATAATTGTAGTCGATGGATTTGACTTTTTGGTGTACACGAGTGTTGTATTGTTTCGTGCGAACGATACCTCGTGATACATCTTTGCATTCCAAACAAAACCGTTTAGCACGTGCACGTCGAGATTGTCTCCCTCATTACTTCTGACATCAGGCAAACCATCAATAGCGCTGCAACTCCCAAAGCAATGACGGGATGACGGAGAGCAGGGAAATGACCGGGTACATAGTAACACTGTCCACTTTGTTGACATTCATTGTGAAGTTCTAGTAGTAAAGTGGGGAACAATCAGCCAATACTTTGAAGACGATTCTATTGTAGACTATATTCCTAATATAGATACGTTGCGCTTGAGTTTTTAGATCACTAACCATCCCTTCCGTTGATATTTTGCGGTCGCTCGCGGCGACTTCAGAGAACAACTTATGGGCACACTTATAAAGAAGAAGAAGGGAAGATGTTCGACCAAGAACGACGTGCACACAAATTCCTGTATGTGAATATATTGTCGCCAACATACACCGCCGGTCACTAACTTTGTTTAGCGAAGTTGACTGAAGCTTCACGCTATCTAAATAGGCCTTATAAGTCATTTTTCAATCCTTCTAGGTGTTTTGTACTAGTTCGCCATGTACACGAAACTTGTTTTGTTGGTATGCCGAACAAGACATACGTCAAGCACCTAATGAACAACCACTAGATGATTTTGCAAATATTTTTTCAGTACTGAAGTCCATAGTGTATTACAATCTGTGGGAAAAGGGGTTTCTCACTTTTGGTGTACCGATTCTGCTAAAAAAATGCCTATATTTACAACTAAAACTACATGTATATTTATAGCGCATTGGTATCTATATCATTAGAACCTTAAGGATTTGAGTATATTTGATCCCATACACGTGCTACAATATAGACACAATGTATCTTGTGAATTCTACTGCGGGTGGGTTCAATATTCTACTTATATGTTTGAAATTGAAGTTATCACATCCCGCAGCACTAAACTACACTTACAACTTGCTTGTGGACTTGCTAGGGAACTAAGTTATTTGATCTTTCACGATAAATGGCCAATATCTGTCTCTTCAAATGTTACGAACACTTGGAGTTTTTATCTTTTTTAATTATACATGTGAACTACAGATTCCCATTAATTTGGGATGACAACTGCAGAAACTTGCATAAAGTATACGGCTACCATGGTATATAGTGACATACAATCTGTTGCAATACTGTCTTCAGTGTTAATTTGGTAGCAAATAGAAACTAGTATATGTGCCGACGTAAACAATTGTCTAGATTGTTTCACGTATACCTAAAGACACATTCGCGCCTACAGACCAGCCTTCTTCAGGTTTCTCACATATTTTTTGTTAATGTTTTATTCTCCGGTCCTAAAGATCAGCATTTGAAGTTCGGTATTCCGCTGGCCGTAGCGTCCGATGACGGCAAAGCAGTTTCCAGGATTGTGACGATCTGCTGCAGATTTATAGAGGACCATGGTGTGTTTTAGAAAGATACGTGTTTGTGTATAGTGTTTCTACTGCTGGAGATTCATAGGGGGTTATGATGAGTTTGAAATCATATGCAAATGTTTATGCCGTGTCTACTACCGTAGCTTTGCAGAGGGCCATGACGAGTTTCAAATGAGGTGCGGTTGCATAAAGGATACCACTTGTACTGTTAAAGCTTCATAGAGATGCAGTTGTATTTGCTGTTTCTAAAGTTGTGCCCCTGAGAAGGGAGGCTATCAGACGGATGTAAAGCAACAAGCATCTTCAAACAATACTCTCAGTCGATCGTCCTTTTGAGCTGCTGGACTAAAACTTTCATATGGGCTGCCACTAAGTATCAATGGGGGCTCTAATTGTGTATGAGTTAGATTCACAAAAGTATTGTCAGTCAGATAAGTTCGACAGTCCGAAATAACCGTGTATTATCAATCAAGATACGATGTGTAGTACAATCGGGAGGCGCGTTGTGCTGGCTGACTTTATCGTTTTTTCCGGTATCTTCGAGCAGCTTGGATTCTCTGATTTTGAGGTAACATCCAGGTGCAATGATATATGGACACTCGTGTGCGGAGTACCACGTAGGAGCTGATTTAGAATTGCGGTGTTTTTCGATGACATGATAAAAACATATACATAATTTACCTGAGCCAACATTCATGGAGATTATGTTACCCTATTGTGCTGAATCTTCGAGAGTACAGTAGCTGCCGCTCGTTCGTTTACGGGCAGATGTGCCACAGCTACATATGCATCAGCTAAATATGCATTTGTCACCGTATAGCTTTTATCCGCGAGGACACTATGATAGCTTTAGTTGAACTACACGTCCGTTCACTAACTAACTGGAAGCACGTACAGAATATTCCAGACAACAGATACCCAGATACTATATACATGCCTGTGCCGGGAAAAGCTTTCCGCGGGTGACTAATCATACGCATCTGAATTCTATCAAATATCACAGCACGGGAAGGGATCTATAAAATATTTGGGAGAACAAAGACGGTGCTTGAATTGAAAGATATGTTTTCTAGAGGTGAGTGACTACATAACCCAGGTTTTGAACATGCGAACAATTGTGTGCGTAGAGCTCATTTTCTAACTCCAGAGTTACAATGATAGACATTGTTTTCAAAAGCAATGTAGCTCGCGATAGTCATCCTGTATATTTGCTTCCGATATTGACTCACAATTCACTTTATACTACGTACAGGCTTAGTATTGGACCTAAATAAGGACTCACAATTTACTTTATACTACTTACAGGGCTAGTACTGGACCTAGAAATTAGCGGATTTGATTCCGTGGATGTGGCCAGTCTGTTTAAACTTTACTTTAGAGACTTGCCTGGTCACATACTTGGCACTAAATCGGTGTTGATAGCGCTCCGAGACTTAGCAAGTATGTCATTTTCTCTGCACCTGTATTGTATGTCGTGGTTTTGTCGTTCGTGTGTTAGGTAAGAGTTGGCACACAATACCATACCTACTCAAATGTACCAATCTGCCAAAACCTGGTTTGTATCGAGATCATACGTGGAGTATGATAACGTCGGGGGTCATGTGTAAGTGGGGATACAATATCCCACTGAGTGTGTGGTAGTTGTATCTTGGGTTCATGGACGGAGTTTGCTTGTGTGAGAGAGAACAAGGTTTGAGCAAGGGTTGACAGTGGATAAGTATCATTCACCTTGTGCACGTCATGTGCGCGTGAATGGGTGTTTGGCTATTGCGGGCCATAGACGAATATCCCTTGTCGATTGTCCAGAAACCGACAGCGAACAGAACTCATTTATGCACTCTCAGGCTCGAGCATAGCGTATCATTGTGTGTGCGCGATGAATGCGATGAGCCAAATCTGCCAGTGTGTAAAATATTCACAGCGAAACTTTTAAAATATTCCCAGGGGAACTTCCATATTGAGTATCGTACAAGTTGTTCTGATACGTCGATTGCTTAAAATGTTTCATCATAATGAAATATACTACGCTGCAAAGGCGTTGCGTATCAACCATCTGAGGCAGTCTGCGACTAAACAACTGACATATCAAAATCAACAACCGATTCACTTCACTAGAAGACATCGAAGACACCAAGGAACGGGTACGTTGGATCCAGCATTGCTTAGGGTCACTCCCAGCAGTGAATATGAACATTCTCAGATACTTGATCAGGCATATGCAAGTGATCATTGCCAAAGACTCACTCAAGATGTCTAGGGAGACATTTGCTGACGCCTTCAGTACTACCCTTGACATTCCCACAATCGTGATTGGTATGGCATATGGTTGTTACCTGTCCATGCCAAATTGTCATGCTTGTACGTACAACGTTTCTCTCGACCTCATATACCCCAAACTGAGGCTCTTTAGCCAATCCGTCTAATGTCTATCATGTTTGTTATTATATCCGTCCAACTAACAGTACCTATAAGAACCTTGATTCCTGGTGTGTATGCGTGCTCGCGTCAAACTTGATTCAAGGTTTTATATACCATCGCGCAATAGCGTCTATGTTTTGACTGTGCTGTTCTATTTGGATTTATTACCACTGAGTGCTACTTGTCTTGCCCCGTTTTCTTGCTTTGGCACCATTGTCTCCTTCGTAGATGCTCAAGTATCCAAGTTGAGATTGGTCCCAATGTTTGCTTCGGTATATTTTCCTGGCAAGTTTCTCTATTTGTTTTCAAATATTAGCGATACATATGCTATGGAATACAAAGTGCAGGTTGAAACCTTGTTCATGTTTGGTAGTAACGTCAGTTTCACTATGTGTTTACTATGTTTTATCTTGTTTTACTGTCATTGCATGCTACATGATAGTAGCTTGATTTTAATTATATACAATGACATGCTGCGCTTGTGCCGACGTTGCACCTTTGTGAAACGTGAGCGACACCTGAGTACCATATAGCGTCGTTGAAGCCCTTGTTGACATGAATCACGGACAGTGTTTGTGGTGTCATACTCTTGTATTGTATCTGGTGTATGTTGGTTTATTTATCAAGTGTAGGCCGTGTTTCTGGGACATCCTATAGACTTTGTGTGTAGTTGAGAAGGTATTTTCACGCTTCTTTGACTTTCAAAAAAATATTACGGGTTGATAATTCTGATTTGTTTCTTAGCTCTTGATACAATGTGATTTTTCATCTTTCCTATCTACAGTGGATATGGTGAATCATTTCAGTGATATCTTCGAGCATGAGCAATTAGAGAGTGCTAATGACAGCAGCAGCGACGAAAGCACTAGCGACAGTGGCGGTGGTAGCAAGAAGCACAGGGAAATGGGTAATGGCAACAGTATGGAAGAACAGTTGTGAAAGAATCAGTTTGGTAGTGCAAGCAATCACACTTGAGCACAGTCTGATAATCTGTATTTTGCGGACGAACGTCGGATATATACGTCGGAAACGACGGTGACAATAAAAAAAACTACACTTCGTATTAGAGGTTGAAACTCGGCGGTTAGCGCTATACACAACCAGATTTCGGTGTTTTTTATCTCCAAAGTGTGAGCGTGCCGAGATATATCATCTCAATCAGACGATATGCATTGCGATGACGCGGTAGCGTTGGACATCGAGCCAGGGAGCTCAAGCTAAAGCCAGGAGACTCAAGTGAATCATACGCGCACTCAGACAGGACCAGCCCAATCACCAAGTGCGGATATATTTCAAGCCCGCCAGTGATTTGCCTACGGCCCTGACATCCAGTTAACTAGACCGCGAAACGGCAGTCGCCAACGGTTTTAACACAACGGACGCCGAAGGCGAATGGCGAGTACACCACAGAGAGTGCGCACACTATCGCACGAATCCTAAAACAGTTCTACCGTAGGCCGTTGAACGCGGTAGATACAGTACAATACACAACACCAAACTGTCCTCAAATGCAGAGAGATGATATACGCTGAGACAATACAAAGTGCGTTATGCTATGTATATTCTTTATAAGATGAATTAGAATTCTAGTTTGAAGTGTACCAATTGCATTGCAGGCGGTGGATTTATGAGCCTTCGCTTTGATCGTATACTCGAAGTAAGTACTATTACACCAATGGCGGTTGCTCAGGAGCGGTCTCCACAATATATTCACTAGAGCATCTTCTGCAAAGCCATTGTACAAACGACAGCTCATTGCTCTCGCTCAAAAATATCTGAGTCTAAATATCAGGGTGTTCTAATAAACAATCTTTTATTTTTTATACTACTATAATTTGTTTATTTAAGATTCCGTCGGCCGGGGCCCTTCGTCAGTTTCAATACGGACGGCGTGCTCTCTAAGATATCGCTGAGCCTCGCCGGCAGCTCCTCTCCACCCTCACTCCTGTCTTCGCTCGTGTACATCTGATCTACCATATCCAGTTGTGACTCGCCCGTACTCATTTTCTCCTTACTCTCTGTTGCCTTACTACTACCTATACCATCCCCAAAGAGACTGCTCTTCTCGGGAGTAGTGACATCCACATTCAGCCTCAGCGGACTTCCCGGCGGTCCGATCGCTTCATCGGCAAACGATACGCGGCGTTTGTCCATACCGTCGTATTCATCCGGCATTGCCGAGAATACAGACACCCCCGTCGCATACGACCCAGCGCTGCCAGACGACGGCTGTCTGTTGATTGTGCCCATCGGTATGTTGAGCTCTGACCCCATCCGCGCCGCGAGTGTACGATCCTCGTTGATGCGTGATCCGCCATCATCGTTGGTGTGGCTCAGGGTCATATTGCTGCTCTCACTTTGCAACCGCCGGCGTACGGCCTCTCGTGGGCCCATAAACGCCATATCTCGCCTTAAAGACCCGTCCAGACCACTCTTATCCGGCCGCAGCACTTCTCTGTCCTGCAGGCGCTGGCGCATGATATCATTGAGCATGTCTATGCCCCGATCCAGATCCTCATACACCTGAGATTCAATCAGAAATCCCTCAGGCTCCCGCGGCTGGTCGCTGCCGCCCGATTGGGAGTGGCTGTCGTTGGTAGTGATCCCGGACTTCTTGTATGATAGCGGCCTGGTCATCTGTCGAAGGACCTGTTTCGGTTTCGGAAGCTTCGCGTGGTATACGTAACTGCAGTATGCGGAAGGGGTAATCGTGGTTTAGCAAAGCGAACTTGATAAAGTGTATATCAGATATCAGATGGTGGTTATTGACAGGACTAACCAAGCTCAGCGAGTCTGTCCCTCTGAGATCTGTCATGAAGTTTACGTCATCGTATGGAGCGTACAGTGTGTTATGTGTGGGTTAGAACGCCTGGCCCATTAACCCTACACACCATCCAGCACAACTTTCATATGAGATTGCTTGACAAATTCTTTCAGAATCTGATACTCCGAATATCTGAAGCTTGTATAAAGCACGTGTATAGGCGTGATGTTCTCACAACAGTCAGACCAGTACTTCATGATCTATACCCGGCACAACGATGCTTCATCCCTGCGAATGCAAATACATACCCCAAAATTCGAACACCGGTGACGAGTAGGATGGTGCACACTGTCAAACTGATGAGGCCTGTGCCGTCGAGATTGTCTATTAGCTTCCAGCACAGAGAGTAGATGAACGCACCCAGCCCCGCTGATACACAGTATACATCCTGTGAATAGTGTAAAATGTTCGTGTATGTTTGAGCTGAGATTGAATACCTGGCGGACGAGACAATCAGGGAGATCCGGCGAGTCAGTCCAGTTGCTACTGCTGCTTGTGTGCAAAGCTACGCATGTTCATGAGACTCAAATATCGACAGATACCTCATGGCTAAGGTGGTCACTGATGCATATATACGACACAACGGCTCACTCGACGTCGAGTTCTTAGAGGAATGACAATACGACAAATCGCTCGAGGGCACCAAAATCCAAGTCAGGTAGTACGTGATTACACGGTTTAAATCCTCAAATACACTCGATTTTGTACCTAAATACTAATCCTTACCTGATTTTCACACAAATCTACACAGCCGCACACACCTCTTTAAAAACGGTTGCAATGCGCCCACTCAGAGTGTCACGGATGACACCCCCGCCCGCACCGGACAGCACAGCCATGAAGATACACGTGGGAATGGGAAGATCCAGCTGCAGAGACTTGGTGGCACCCATGACAACAAAGGCACCCAGCCCAATGGCGTCCAACAACATCATCAGAAACGGGGGGAAGACACTCAGGTCCTTAAAGAAAGACACTATATACACTAGCACCACAGCCGCCATGCTCAGGTAGAGGTACAGTGCATTGGAAATCCAGAAAACCGGAAGATCCAGGATCAGATCTCGCACTGTGCCACCCCCGCACGCGGTTACGAAGGCAAAGATGATCATCCCTAGCAACGAGAAAGAAAGGCCGAGTGCCACTTTGAGATGGGTTGCTTGCCTGGCGAAATCATGCGCAAGGATATACACATGGTCGATAGGTGTCCGTAAACTAACCGCAGGGCCGATAGGTGTGTTCGCCTAGCGAATCTCTTAAAATGTACACGTTAAGATCTTGTCTGCCTGAGTGCTAGCCTGGGTAGGAAAGAGTGTATTGAGTGTGCGAGAGATTTTTTGTATCTGGCTTTCTGTACGTGCTTCTATATAGCTCGTGGGCATCCTTGTGCATAATTATAGGGAGAATCAGAGACCGGAAATGGTGTACAATTATGCAGCGGATATTTTTTGAATCATTTGCGCAGTTCAACCAAAAGAAATTCCCGAATTTGTCAATTCTGGAACACGGATCGTTCATTGTAGGCCCTTGTATCCTGAGACGCACACACTCAACCATGGAGAACCATGCTACGGAATAATCCATACACCGTTGAGCGGCAAAGGCGTCGTCGATACTCGAACGCTGCACACCAAAACTGAGACCCGATCAATACTTAATTACAACAAGGGATCACCCCCATTACTGTACGATACACCGTGCAATGTTGCTGAAAAAGGATATTTTTCAAGCGGTGCCAAATTCTTGAACACTCGTGACATTTTACACAAATACAGATATGTAACTACTGTGAATACAACCGCATCAATCAATCGAGTTCGTTCATTTTTAATAATAAGTTTGTTGTTTAAGTCAATGGCAAGCAAAGAAACTTGCAGATAATAGAGACACAATGAAGCGCACATGTAAATTCTAATCATTTGTGTACAAAAACACCTATTCAATTTGGAATCAAACAGCAAAAGACCTTCTGAGACATACCGACGATGTCACATCCTTCTCGCGCTCCACTGAGTCCACCCTCGATGGCAAAGACTACGGTCCCGACAACTATATGAATATATAGAAATACGAGTTGGTGTGCGTATGTTCGTAATAGGTAGACAGTGCTCCTATGGGAGAGCAGTGAGCATAATCAGCTTCAGTGACATGTCAAG